TGTATTTTTAAAGTTTTTTTAATTTAGTTTATTGGTCTACATTATAAAAGTGGTTGTATGATCATAAGGATTATTAGAATTTAACATTCATACTATGTAAAAAAGCACTTATATTAAGGGGAATTCTTTGTTGATATTGGTGGGTTAGAAGCCCAATTATGAGAAATTAAAATGGTTGAGATTTTTCTAACCCACCTTGATTTATACCGAGGACATTGGGGTTAAGAAGACTGATTTTTACAATGGGTGATGAACAGGTAGGATCTTGTATAAACTCATGGGTTTGGTCTAAAAGCTGTTAATTTAGTGTCGATTTTGCAACCATGATATGAAAGCACTTTTTTTTAATCTGAACATTTTTATTTCAAATGTTATTTTCTAACTTCGTCACTACTTGCTTTTGTTCTTGAAGGTTTTCCTTATAGCTTAGAAGCCCAGATTCTACATTTCTACTTCAAGAGGTTTCAAGCCAAGTTGTAGAGAAGTAGACTTTATGGATGTCATTGTATTGTTTGTTGTTTATCATTTTGTATAATTTGTGCTCTCTTTGATATCCTATTTTCTTGTGTTTTGGTTTACTGATGCAAAAGACAGAGTACCTTCTTGCTTTAGACATCAAACTAAATTATCCTAAGTTGTTGACTTTGTTTGGATGACGTCGTTTCAAGGTAGTTTTTAATATTTAGTTGCAGTTAGATTGAAAATCATGCAACTGATTATTCATTTAAATATGTTTGGTCTAAATTATTGTAAGTTTCTGTGTCTATGTATTTAATATGTTTTCATATTATTGGTTTATTTCAATTGGTGTCTTTTGTTTTAGAAGTGTGCTTTATTTTTAATCTCTTAAATTTTCATCTATGGGAAATTTTACATAGAAGGTCTTGGGTCTATCATGTGGAAAAAAGTATTGGAGTCCAAACCTTGATTCTTTTTGGTTTTGAAATGAATGAAATTTGATCTTTTCCCCCTTACATTTGGTTACTTATAAACAAGTCGAACTTGTATAATTTTTCCTCTAAATATGTTAGAACCTCATTTCTCTTTTTAAGGCGTTTTTTAAAAAGTAATTTTATGTGTTTCACACATACCCACAACTTTTTACATCAATTGTACCATTTTTCTTGTATTTAATATCACGTTTTCGTAAAATATATACTTCCCGCTAAATTGTACGGGTACACGCCTAGTAGGTTCTTCAAGCATAAGTACAAGTTGATTAAAGAGAAGGAAACAAAATACCTAACCTATAACCCCTAAACGAGAAACTTGTCTTCATCCCTTCCCAACCCATTTCTAGCGTCTCTTATGCTCGACATCTTCATCTAAATCTCTAAAACTTAGGTGATGTCACTTCTCTGCACGTTTGCATTTTAATCTTTGTCTTAACTCTCTCCACCTCTGCATCTTCAACTTCGTTATTGAGACAGTCTGATAAAAGATTAACGGTTTGAGAACTTGAATTAGGATTCAAAGGAAAATGATGCTCCTTGGTGTACATGATTTATGTATATACTTAAAGGTGTGAACTTGAAGGTTTTAAGCAATGGAGCATATGCTTAAATTGCACCCTCATTAGTTGAGAACATTGTTTTGGTGCAAAAATTTAATATATTTCATTGGTCAGGTTTGTATATAACTGAGTCTGATATAAATGTGTTGAGATAAAGTGAATTTTTGAAGAATCAATGAGAGAATGTGGTCTAAGAAAGAGGGGATCAGTGGAAGTTGAAAAAGATGGAGATGGGGGTAGATTCGCAGTTGGGTAAAGGAGGACCAGTGAGGATGAAGCAATAATAAATAAAAAATTGAAACCGTGATGATGTTTATTGTAATTTTAAAAAAACAAATAGAGATAAAAACCAGTTTTCATAAACTTAAGGGACTATTTTTGTACTTTACTGAAAATAGAATGATGAAAAAGCCAAGGTGCCGGAAAAGCAGCAAAGCGGCGCCTAAAAAGACTCCATTCTTTTTGACCCAACCCACCCAACATATCAAAATAATATCTCTTCGTCTTATTTCTCTTTTTATTTTTTATTTTTTTAGTCATGCTTTGTAATTATATATAAATTAGAAGAGTACTTGCATAATGTAACGATTTACATCTCGATTTTAATGTTCTATTTTATTATTAATCGTTGTCGATGTTGTAATACGATTTTATGTGTATTTAAGAAAGCAATAATTATTTTATTTTTGAATAAAACATAAACTTGAAGATATCATAAAAATTTGAAAAAAAAAATATTAATGTTAATATCAAATTAATTATTTAAAAGTTCTCATTTTTTATGTAATTTCTTTAATTTATTTATTTTTATTATAATTTAATTTAAGTTTAATAACGAAATAATTTATTTTTGGTTTAATAATATAACATTTTGTAAAGATAATAATTAAGTATTCTGTTAGAACTCAATGATTATCCTAATTATATTTTAGATTTTTTATATTTAAAATGAGACGTTTATCATGTATTTGATTATGTTTATCTGCAGTTAGTTACACGAATTCAGATATGGAGCGTTAATAAGTTGTATTTACACACAATCTACTTGTAATCTTGAGTTTTAAGTAATATGCATTAATAAACAGTACTTTACGCATAAAAAGTTTATTTTAAGAGTTTTTATCAAATGCTTTATAATATAGTGTAGATAATTATATAAGGTAAAAAAATAATTATTTTTATTATAAAATAAAATCTTTTGCTTTATTATTTTTTATGCTTTCCAAGTTTATGTTGTAAATGATTGGGTTTCGTGAAGTTAATTGACAGAAAAAAGCATTGTTGTAGTATATTTTGGTTATTTTTGTTCTGGTTTTTATAACTCTAAGAAATTCTTTAAAATTATGAAAAATATAGCAGAATGTTTATTTCTATTATATCTGTACATTTAAGTAAAATTAACAATATTTTTTAGTTTGAGCATTCTTAAATCAAAATTACTTTTTAAATGTTAAAAGATATCTATTTTAAATATGAAATTTAAGAGACATTTTCTTTTCTGAAACATAACCATTCATAGTGTTTGAAAAATGAGTTAAGTAAATAATAACACTTGAATATTTAAATCAATGACATAGATTATGGTTAAAAAAACTTATAACAACTAAAAGTACGTTATCATTATTGTTATTCTTGTATAAAATATGAAGTTTTTATGTAGCGTTTGTTATGCAGATATGATTGGTAGAATTAGACAGGATTATACAGGACAAAAAGGTAGGACTGAACAAGATAGAACTGAACAAAACAAGTGTATGTCTGGTGTGATTAGGATTGGACATGACATAACTATACAAGTTGTCCCAAAAGTTATTTTATGATTCTATATATCATATAATAGTTATAATTAACATAAATAAAGTAAATAATTTAATTTATATACATTTTCATATACATAAATATGAAATAGTACCAAATTTGAATGAAATTTTTTATGTAATTGATGGTAGTTTGAAAAAAACCCAATTCACACAAAAGAGAAATTATGTTTTATTCGGTTTGGAATGTCGTGAAGGCACAATGAAAATTGTTGCAACAACAATGGTTGTGGAGGTCTTAACATTCTAATTAGAGGACGGTGGTGGTTGTGGAGGACATGAAGATGATGGATAGTGGTGGTGGAAGTGGTTGATAGTAGTGGAAAAGGTAGTTGTGGTGGTGGTCGACGATACTAGTGGTAGTGTAGATAGACGGTGGTAGTTGTAGAGGACGTGAATATGGTAGAAAATGGTAGTGATAGCCAATAGTGGATGCCAACGGTGGCAGTGGTAGCTGACGGTGGTGGTGGGCAGTGGTAGTGGTAGCCGATGGTGGTGGTTATGGTGGAGGTGAGGTGGCCCATGGTGGTGGCGATAAACGGTGTTGGTCGGCAGCCGATGGCAGTTGTGGGGGTGGTGGAAGATGTTGTTGCAGTAGAAGAAAAGGTGAGGTGGCCACGTTGGTAGTGGTGAAAGAGGGTGGCCGATGGTGGTTGTGGAGGTGGTAATAGACGGTGGTGGTCGGTGGTTGATGGTGGTAGTGGAGGTGGAGGTAGCCGATGGTGGCTACCAGTGGCGGCAGGGCCCGCAACTAGCGGTGATGATCATTAAAACAAATATCATGTTAATGTTATATATCAAATGAGGGTTAATTAGTAATATTTTAGTTTCTCTTTCATTCTTGTCACATTTTGTTCAACCTATTTTGGTGGAACAAAAAAAACCCTTTTTTGTCTCACTTTGTCCCAGTTCTTATCCCTGTCCCATATTGCACCAAACGTGGGACATTGCGCTCTTGTCCTATCCCATGTCGCTTCAAACGTGAGACAATGAGTTTTATCCCCTTATGTTTCGTGTACCAAACTTAGCCTTAAAGCACTATAACAAATTTGATTTATAGGATGTTATCAATTTCTAGGCGTTCTAATAGACTGCTATATAAGAATGAACTTTTATGACCAAAATATAAAATGTCCTATCTAAAGGCGTTGTAATAAGTTGATAGAATGTTTTAGACGTCTTAACAAGTTTTTTAGGACGTTTTTAATAAAAAACGTCACATTAATAAATTTTATAGGACACCTTTGGAGAAAGTGTTCGACGCCCAAAAACGTCCTATAAACTTATTACAACACCTTTAGATAAGTCGGTTTATTTTCCGGTCTTAAATAATAAGTCATATAAAACGGTCTATTAAAATGCTTAGAAATTGGTGACGTCCTATAAACCTAATATTGTTGTAGCGATATAAATGTTTATTTTATTATTGTTACTAGTGTTCCAACCGCGCATTACGCGGTAACGATAATACTATCTTCAAAAGGAATGTTGTAGACTAAAATTTGAAGTCCTCTTCTAATGTTAGTAGTTTGTTTAATCAGAAGTCACGATTTTTACTGAAATCTTATTTAAGGTGACAAAATCACGATTTTATTTTGTAACAAATTTAATTGAAATCTCATTTGAAGTTATGAATAAGAAATAGTCTATAATATTTCAGGTGAAAATTAGAGGAGTGCGTAAGTTGTAGCAACAATAGTGGAAGTTCAAGGTGATGCATGAAAAACCACATCACCAAGCTAATGGATTTTCCCTCATAAAAAAATAAAATTAATATCAAGTGGAGTCGATGACCCACATATCAGATATTAAATTGATAAAAGTACTACATTCTATAATATTTGAATTGTATTTAGAGGGGTGCGTCAAACCTTGATAGTAGTAACACCAAGACGACAGATAAATAACTACCTCATGTTGCCAAATCATCATCATTGGTTTTACTTTTATATTTGCACTATAATTTTTACCATTTAATTGATTTTGATTTCAATCATCGTATAGATTTCAAAAACGGTTATCCAAAATAAGACAAGCCTATGAGGCAAATCTCATGATTTGACAGAAAGACATTCATTCACTTTCTTATACATTTCATTTAGTTCAAATATTTTAACTATTCATCAATGTAGGACAACTAAAACTCATCAACAATTCATCATTTGAGAAAATTCAATTCTCATGGTGTCACCTCAATACCCCAAGGTTTTCTTCTTTAAATATATAATGATAAATAATTTTTCAATTTGATTGGTTTTGATCTCAACCATGGTTATAGATTTCAAAGAGTCTCATTCAAAGTAAGACAACCTTACGAGACAAATCTCATCAATCGACACAAAGACGCTAATCCATCTTTTTATACACTTCGCTTTGTTCAAATCTTTCAACTATTCACCAATGTGGGACAACTAAAACTCAACAACAATTCACCATTTGAGAATATTCAATTCTCATTGTGCCACCTCAATACTCCAAGGTTTTACTTTTATAACTCTCATGGTGTCACCTCATCACCCAAAGTTTTACTTTTATATATATAAAGACATAATAATATAATTAATTTTGCACTATAATTTTTAATATTTGGTTGGTTTGGTTTCCAACCATGGTTATAGATTTTAAAGAGAGTCATCTAAAATAATACAACCTTATGAGGCAAATCTCATTATTTGACACTTCGAAAAAGATGAAATGTTGATATATATATATATATATATATATATATATATGAGGTGCAATTGATAGGAAAAAAAATGTTCATATAATATATACTAGAAAGGTGTTCAATTAGAGTTACCCGTAAAATAAACCATTTTCTGTTAATTATTTTGTAGCATATACAACAAACCACACATTTTACATTTTTCAATGTATTTACATTACATTAGGGATTTGTTTAGTAACAACCATAAAGTATTAGGGATTACAATTTTATGTTGACTATATTATTTTTCGTTCTACAAAACCTAAGTTTTATAAGAACTTTTCAGAAATCATGAAATCCAAATTTCAAATGAGTATGATGGAAGATTTAAATTTCTTTCTTAATCTTCAAGTAAAACAACTTCCCAATGGAATATTCATTAATCAGTCTAAATATGTTAAAGACATTTTGAAAAAGTTTAACATGTCTGAATGTTCTTCTATAAAGACTCTCATGACTATCGAAACTTTATTAAATGCAGATTTATCCGGAAAATCTGTTGATCAACAAAATTACCGTGCCATGATTGGATCTTTATTATACTTAACTCAAGTATAGATATAATGTTTGCAACATGTTTTTGCTCAAGATATCAGACTAATCTTAAAGAGTCACACCTTGCAGCGATTACCATTGATGATTGTAAACATAATTCATTTTTATTTTTATATAATAAGATTTGTTTTATAAAAAATAGGGTCATCCAAGTAAGATAACCTTATGATTCAGGCCTCATGAGTTAACACAATTAATCTTATTCTTCTTTCTTATACACACCTCCTTATTTCAATCTTTCAATCTCTAACCAGTGTGGGATATCTCAAACTCAAACTCAAACTCAACCTCATGAGTTAACACAATTAATCTTATTCTTCTTTCTTATACACACCTCCTTATTTCAATCTTTCAATCTCTAACCAGTGTGGGATATCTCAAACTCAAACTCAAACTCAACCTCATGAGTTAACACAATTAATTTCATCTTTCTTTCTTATACACACCTTCTTGTTCCAATCTTTCAATCTCTCATCAATGTGGGATATCCCAAACTCAACCACAATTCACCAACACCTTAATACTCAATTCTCATGATGCCACCTCAATACTCTTGGTTCTTTCTTTAATTTTTTTTATTTTTTATTTTTATATAATAAGATTTGTTTTGTAAAAATAGGGTCATCCAAGTAAGATAAACTTATTATTCAAGTCTCATGAGTTGACACAATTAATCTCATCATTCTTTCTTATACACACCTCCTTATTCCAATCTTTCAATCTCTAACCAATATGCGATATCTCAAACTCAACCTCATGAGTTGACACAATTAATCTCATCCTTCTTTCTTATACACACCTCCTTATTCCAATCTTTCAATCTCTCACCAATTTGGGATATCCCAAACTCAACCATAATTCACCAACACCTCAATACTCAATTCTCATGATATCACCTAAATACTTTGGTTCTTTCTTTAATATATATATATATATATATGTATATTTTGTTATTCTTATATTAAATGGAAGCTTTCAAGGGAAGTTATTATTATTATATAACAACATGAAGCTTTCAGAGGGCGCTTTCTTTTATCTTCCTTAAATCAAAACATTCCCATTACTCAATGATTTATTCAATAAATTTGAATTTCTTCTTCGGCCGTTTTTAGGCATAATTGTATACGAACCATGATAAGGTTGATAGAATCACAAGTAAATCTAGTTTTTAATGTTTGATGCAAAATCAAACACAATTTTCATGTTATATTATATAGAGGAAATTGACAAAAATAGCTAATTCCCCTAATGCTTTTCACTTTATAGTCATGTCAGCACCCAATTTCACTAAATAGTCGATCATTATACATAAAACTTACTCATATGCGTAAGAATTGAATTTCGACCAAAAAAATTAAAAGAAAAAAACATAAGAATCTTTAAGCATTTTTTGCGTTATTATTTCAATTTATGCATAAAAGATTCTTATTATTTCATTTTGTTTTGCCGAAATTCGATCTTTACACATGTGCGTAAGCCTTCTGCGTAAGGATTGACTAAAAAGTAAATTTGAGTTAGAAAATGGCTAAAAAATGAAACGACCTATTAGCTTTGGCTATTTATGTAAATTTCCCTATTATATATGTTGTTATATGATAAAAAAATGGATTATGATGAGAATGAGAGTTAAGGAAAGAAGCGTAAGAGATTGATCCAATACATCTCATTTTAGTGCATCTCATCCTAATGTTCATTTAAAGGTGGAAATCTAACTTATATTCCTCACAGAATCCAACCCTATGATAGAAAACGTAAATGTTCCTATTATTAAGTTTTACTTTTTATTATTTATGATATACTTCTTTCTATTCTAAAATAAATGATCATAATGTATATATAAATAAATATATATATAGGGGTAGGTTCAAATGAAAACCATGCAATTCTAAGAAACCGTGTAAACCAATTTCGACCAATAGAAAAATTCTATTTTTTAATTAAATTTAATCAATAAGGGTATTTCGGTCATTTTTCATATTTTTTTTGATAAATAAGAAAGTTATTAATAAATATTAAATAAGGAAATTTAATAATGAAAATTATATAAATGGTAACATTTAAACTTTTTATTATATTATAATATTAAAAACTTGATTTTAATTTTTTGTTATTCAATGAATCTGGAAACGTGATATGAAGATTCTAGCTTCTTATGGAATGAAATCTTGATTTGAGGTTGGAGAAAAAAATCATCCATGTTCATGAAACTGTTTCAATGTGAAAATGTTTCATTGTAAAATGGTTTATTTGCTTCTTCTAGGCATATTTTACATGTTAATGAAATATGTTCATGATGATGAAAATGTTGATGCTCTAATTGATTCATGATCTAGTTTCATGGTGATCCATGTTGCTTTGTGATTGAAGTTGATCCGTTTAGTTGATAGAATGAAAATGAAACGGGTGCATAATGTATTTTGTTCTTTATGAAATAAATGTATGATGAAACGGGTGCATATTATATTTTGTTCTTTATGAAATTAATGACATGAAACTGTTTCAATGTGAAAAGGTTTCATTATAAAATGGTTTATTTTTGTTTACCAATTTTGCCCTTAGTATTGAAATAAAATAAATTTTTAACATTTTTTATTATTTAATTTCCTAAAATAAAGTAAACTAATCTTAGTCATTGATCAAGAAAATGGATGGATGAGATTGGTTTACACGGTTTATACAAATGGAGCAAGTTTTTATTTAAACGCTCCTATATATATATATATATATATATATATATAGAGAGAGAGAGAGAGAGAGAGAGAGAGAGAGAGAGAGAGAGAGAGAAAGAGAGAGATCGATGTATGATCTTTTGTTAACCAATTCATTTGTGTTAACTATACAAACTCTCTAGACCAATGTGAATCAATCTAGTACCATAGTTCATATATTCCTATGTAATTAGTGATTGATGCAAAATAAAAGGTTGTGTTTCGTATTACTTTAATACATTTAAATTAGAGTTACATTACTCCTTGAATTTAGCCATTTTGAATTTATCATGCGTTGTAAGTTATATTGTTTGTGATTGTTCATAAACGAATGCATTTTGAGAAATAATCAATAAAACTTCAACAATCAACTTTCTTAATCAAACGAGTTCGTTGTGTCTAGTGTATCGCATAATATCGATAATCAATATTAACATAGTAGCAGTCAACATGAGTGACTGTGCACTCAATGTTTAATAGTGAACATTGTTCCCATTGACAACTTGTTCATTGGTGAGTCACACATGCGTACACATAATGAACATTTTCATATATGTTATATTTTCATTGGTGAACAATGTTCATACGCTACTCATATATAACAATTGTTCATTAATTCACACCATTTATAAGTTTCACATTACATATTAATAAATAAAGGAATAATTAAAGCTTTATGTTGGTTTCAAAACGATGGAGTAATTACAGGAAAAGTAATTAATGCTAAAAGAAATCTCCATATTTTTTTCCAAAATTAACTTTTGTTCATGATTGCTCATCTATGTTTATTAAACATCCTTTTTAATTTATTACAAAAAAGCCATGATGAATTTTATCCATAGATTACAAAGATTAAAGACTAGGATTGGTTCACAAAATTAAATACCATACA